GTGTACCAATAAAAAACATGCTATTGAATGGATTTATTTTATATTATAAAACTCCAAATGTCCTGATTCATTGTTGTGTTGTCAAAAATAAATGTACTGTTAAAAATGCAGTTAATCAGATTTTTCGAATAGCATAAAAGCTGAATCAGAAAAGAGGAAGAATGAACCATTTTTGCAATTTATGATTTAAAAGTGTTAAAATATTTTCCTCCATTGAATGTCATCAATCTGAGGTGTTTTTGTAGGTTTATTGTTTTTATTGAGGTTTTAATTCAAATTGAGCAACCAAGTATAACAAATACTAAGAGGGATGAATYAGTTTGCAACTGACTGATAAAAATATTTTTATTACTTTGAATCAAAATGCAGAGGAGAAAAAGGAAGATGATACTAAATGATAATTTAACATTAATTGTTTTGTTTAAAGGACAAAACAAGGGCAAGTTTCAGGAAGCRTAGACATGTTTACTTGTGCTGGAGTGAGAATTAATCTCTTCCCCAGATGTCTGGGGCAGTTTTTATGGAGCATGGCCAGAGGTAATAAATCTGGAGGCTGAGCCCACGTTTGGGGGTCAACACGTGGTTCTGTCTATTTTTAACACAGAACCTCTCTGCCAGAGTACTATTACGCTCCACTTTCTACCAGTTCATTACATGTCTGTGAATGAATGAATGATGCTCGAGCTTGATTTGCCCTCCTTCGCTCTAATTGTTTGATGGGGACGCTTCACTGATTGGCTTCCAGCTTTATGGGGAGTACCAAGAGAACCAAGGCGGCTCGGGCCGACGGGAGGCCACACGCCTGCTGACAGAGAGGCAGATCAAGAAGCACGAAATCAAGAAGCATCACAACCTCGGGAGGACGCGGCACAGCTACAGCCATGGCCATCAGCACCACGGCAGGCACACGGCCAAGTCTCAGCCCAACATGGAAAACGAGGCTGCTGCTGATGATGACGATGAGAAAACGGCTGAAAAGGATTTGACGTCCGGTCTGAAGAAAGAACGCTGCTCCTCCAAGTGCAGAGGTGAGGAAGTGAAAACGTGGATGTAGAGTGGACGCTGTGGGTCCTGGTTGGTGATCTGTGTTTGCTTCTGACAGACTGCATCGCTCGGGTGCAGCGGTTTCTGGTGACGAGGCTGGGAGAGGACTGGATTTTTCTGGTTTTGTTGGGAATTACAATGGCTCTAGTCAGCTGGACCATGGACTACGCCAGTGCAAAGAGTCTGCAAGGTACAACCATAGACTTGAATATAGATCACTAGACTGAGCCCCGCCCATACCGCCCACTGGTAACACCTGTGACAGCATGGAGGAGCAAAAATGGCGTCCAAAAAGGGCAATGGCTCAAAGTCACCATAGAATTTGATGGATAAACAGCAGCTGAACTGGATATATTTCACAGATTATCAGTCATGTTTTTACATCCATCCATCCATCCATCCATTTTCTGTACACGCTTCTTCCTTTTCAGGGTCGCGTGGGTCACTGGTGCCCATATCCAGCATGAATCTCAAAACGTAAACCAAACAACTTAAAATACATAAACCTAACAGTTAGAAATAAACATACATTTTTTCATAACATACATCATTTTAGTGACACTTACACTATATTCTCCCAGTATTACACAGGCTTGTCTAAATGTTGTGCAGCAAACTTTAAAGAGTAACTTACCCCAAAATTAACTTTTTTTAGCTGATAAACTGTCTAGAATGTGTCTAAAATGTTATAT